TACTATATATATATATATATATATATATATATAAGTGAATTAATATATTATATATTATATATATAGATATATAATATATATATTATATATATATATATATATATTATATATATATATATTATTATATATATATAACAAATATATCATAACCCGATTTTCTCTTTTTTTCTTTTGTAATTTCCACGTTGATCAGCAGCCATCCGCCTCTTAAAATCCTAATTCATCAGTTTGAGTCTTTGGAAAAGCTTTGAGAAGCAAAAAGACCAAGAGGAAGGAGAGGTCGGTAGTTTCTGTAAGGAAAGATCGAGTTCTTTGCATGTGTGGGAACTCAGCACAAAATTTTTGAAGCGAGTTTCATCTCCTCCAATCCCATCTCCATCTTTCTCAGAGGCGTGGCTGACAATTTGGGGGCCCGGTTCTAAATTTTAATCGGGGCCTCTTAATCAATCTTCTGAAGAAACTTTAGTAATTATTTTTTTATCAAAATCAGCTAAGACTAATACTAGGTAAGTGAGTAATAACTAATAATTGTTTTTATACATAGTACTAACCATGGAAAGAAATTTCAATCGGGGCCTCTTAATCTAATCTGGAGAAGACATTAAATTCATATAAGATGAAGATGGGTACCTTTGGAAGAAAGAACTCTATTGTAATGTCTCCACTTCCATCTTATTGAGGCAAATAAACTCCAGCAGCTAGAAAAGTGTAATCGTCCCATTTTCGTTTTCCAGAGGACGTCATGAAGAAGTCCTGTAGATAGATAATGTAGAGCATCAACTTTGCGTTCAGGCTATTCAAAATACAATTGCATTCTTGGAAAATAACAATTACATCGATATCATATTGCAAAATCAGGGCAATATATGCCTAACATAACCTGGACCAAATGGAGCTAGTTTAAAACTAGTCTACATTATTTTCAAACTTGCCAAACATACCCTTAGGACATGTTTGGTTCACCCTTAAGAATTGGAAACATGCGAATTGATAGGATTTAGAACAAAAACTAGCAAAAATGGTGACTTCAACAATTCCTTTTCTTTCAAAATAAATTGTAAGAAATATTTTCCATAAAACTGGAAAAGTACACCAATTTTAAGAATAGCTAATTCACACCCTGTGCCACATCATTCACAGCCCATTTTCTTTTTCTTAATCATGTGATCAAAATCAGAAGCCCTAAGATCATTGCCCCATTTCATTCCCTCATTTTGTTCGCACCTCATTTTTACAGTTCTCTCTCAAAGAGAATACTAGCTAGTTCCTCTTTTATCCCAAATTACACCCATCTGCTTCAAATTTTAGTTATAAAATGTAAAATAGAAGCTTCCGAGTTGAGATTTGGGTTCAGGCGATTGATATTGAAGATAAAAAATTTTCATTTAGGGTTTCACTCTAGGTTTGAGTTGATATTTGGGGTTTCACGGTCGTTATTACGTCGAGATTTAGGTTTTCACTAGCATTTCATCTCAGATCTTCTCATTTTCGCTTCGATCTGACCTAATCTTGCTCAAATCAGGCCCAATTTAAAAGCTGGAGCTCGCTGAGAAATCTAGGGTTTGAGGAAGAAAGATTACCGCTGGGAGCTCGCTGAGGACCTCATCGCCGGCGCCGGAGCAGATGAAGTCGTCCCGGACCTTGTTGACGGTGGCGATTTGGGGGCCCCCCCAAGTGGGGGGCCCTGTTCTGCGGAACCAGAAGTTCCGCCTCAACGGCGCCTCTGATCTTTCTTGGTTTTTTTGGATTTTAAAACCTATTTTATGAGTAAAAGATCACCTCTTTATTTAGTATGACATAAAGGTTTAATCTTTTTGATTTAAAAGGTTATGAAACAGATTTCTTTGAATTGGGTGTAAGAGTTGAATCAGATATAACATGAGATTTTGTTAAAGTTATTTGTTTTCATGATGATTTTTAAACATAAACATGTTAGGATTTTATATATTTCCCCAAATCTTTATATTTGTGATTTCGTGTAGCAAATTAAACCCTAATTATACTAAATCAAGATTTATATGTGGGCTCTTTTGATAATTTTCATTTTTTTCATGATAGAGAAGAAAAACATAAATTGTGTTTTTTCACCAGTATCAGTCGACCGATCAAAGAAAATTGTTGACCGGTTAGTCTACAGGAAACTAAAAAATTTCCTCTAGTCGGTTGACTGACCTATGTAATCGGTCGACCGACCGAAGCTGATATGTGTGTGCATGTTCTCGTTGTCGGTCGACCGATGGGTTATGTCGGTCGACCGATTTGAGCTGTTTTGCATAAGTTGATTTACCACATGTGTTTGATCATAACCACGAAGTACGAGCAATACGTCGACACACGTACGTGACCATGAGAGTGCATGTATTGGCTACGAGCATGCACGAGTATTTGGAGGTACATAATCTGATATTTTCGAGCTTATCAGGATAGGGAATAATGTTTGTTTCATTTTACGGTAATTTTGGATGCTTGAGTAGGGTTAGTTGGTGCACCACAACAGGATCATGGTTGATTACACTCAAAGTGCGTTAGTTGGTGTACTACAATGAGACCGTAGTGGACTACACTCTCTTATGCATCATTGTGTTTCGGATTAGGATAATACGCTTATACTTCACATGGTATTCGAGTCAGGTAGAGAACCACAAAATGTTGCGATGAGCCACAGGATATTGTGAGCACCTATACTCCACACCATTTTTCTTTATAGGGAATCATACAAAATTGTAAATTTGCTCTCGTGTTACCTACCTTGAGTGTAGAGTATAAGGCTATGGTTTGTAATATACTATATATCCTAGACGAGATCTTTTATCGAATATTTATTTTTGTTCCCGCGCCAACTACCCGAGGGAAATGTGAGTTGTTTTGATATGATTTGTTATGGAGGAGGCTTGGTAATTTATTGTTCTTCGTTAATTATTTTATTCATAGGATTTTGGAGTTAATATTTAGCAATCCATAATTTGAGATACATGGTATATACATGAGAGTTTCCTTGTTTGGATTATTTTGCTCGATGTACTCATTCTCCTGTTGTGGGTTTCTAAATATTAATTCCTCTTAGTTCATGATGTAGGATTTATATATTTATATATGTTATAACTTGTATTTTTATACACCTAACCCCCTTCCACCTAGGGGCGGTAAAGATGTTCTCACTAGTGATTGATGCTCATTGTCTCTATCTTTTTCAGGTAGCGAATCAGGGGTTCGGAGAGTCGCAGGTTGACGGAGACTCAGCATAGTTCACCGTCATTTATTAGTAGCTAGTTAATGCTCCATAGTAAAAATTTATGATTTTATTTTTCTTATAGAGATGTATTTCATTTTGCAGGTTGAGTGCCTATACACTTTTCACTTGACTCTTTTTTATTAGAGATTCATTATCTTTATTTCGATTTATTAAATGCACTTCTTTTCTTTTGTTGGAACATAATTATAAATATTGTTGGAACTTTTCTCTATATTGTGTTTCTCGTATTATCATCTTTACCATATCTGCTTGTACTCTCATGTCTTGTATTTGATTCTACTAGAGAGATATTACTATGATGGTGAAATATGTTGTTACACAGTGTTGAGTGCATGACAGGTTTGACATCCTTGGATCACCTTAGACTGCAGCCTTGTGTGAAACCAGGGGTGTCACAACTTCTTTTTCTTTTAATTAAAAAAAATAAAAAAGAAGAAGAAATATATTAAAAAAGAAAAAAAAGTAAGAGAAACAAGACTTTTGGCTACATCCTTCTCATACCCATCAATACTCAAGGTAATTGCAGAAATTTTATTTTATCGTTGTTCAAAACCAAACAATTTTAAGTACTTCATTTCCTATCAGCTTTACTTTTTATATCATATAGTTTGCATTGAAGATAATACTAAATTTAGGTGCAAGATGGGGGACTAGTTATCTTTTCTCTTTATTTTCTTTCCCTTGAAAAAAGTATCACTTGCTAACTTGATAAAGCTAATTAATAATTACTCTACTTGATGAACTTTTAAACTTTTTTTCTTAGTTAATTGTATACTCTAGTTAGCCTTTTATGATAACTTTAAATAAATTTTAAGAAATGATTTTCAAAGCATAATACTTTACTATAGTTCTAACGTAGGACTTTATTTGAAGTAATGAATTTATTTCATGCTTAACTTAGAGTGGATAACAATTTCTCAAGTCTTCTTGATCTAAATATTTCTTAAGTTGTGTGCTGTGTCTATATATATATATATATATTATATTATATATATATATTATATATATATATATATATATATATATATATATATATATATATATATATAAGAGCAGAGAGGAGGAGAGAGAGAGAGAGAGAGAGAGAGAGAGAGTAGACTCCTATCAACTTAAGTTTATGTCCACCAAACTTCCTAACCACTCATTTATTAATATAAAAACACTTTTTTATATCATATTGGAGTGGCTAAAAATTTTGGGGATAACTTTTTGCTATCCACTTAAAGTTGATACAAGTTTTGTTCTCTCTCTCTCTCTCTCTCTCTCTCTCTATATATATATATATATATATATATATATATATATATATATATATTATATATATATATATATATATAATATATATATTATATATATATATATATATATATATTATATATATATATATATATACAGCGCATTTCAGACACGCACTGGTGTGTACGCATTCTGCCGACAATCCACGTGTGCTGCGTGCGGTTCGTTTCCTCGTTTCCGTATTGATTTGAAGTTAGCGATTGTTTGGGTTTTTTGTAAAATCCATAACTACTACTCTCTCTCTCGTGACCCAATACTCTCAGATCCCTCCCTCCCTCCCTCTCTCGATCTCTCCTCACGCCGCCCCCCGTGTCTCTCCCCCAGCCCCACAGCCCGCCAACGACACCGCCGCCGCCCCCGTGCACTGCTCCCCCAACTCACGCCACGACACAGCCGCCCGTGCGCCCTCCGTCGACCCCCTTCCTTCTTCGCGCAGCCACTTCCTCCGCCGTGAGATCTCGCCGCCGAGCTACTGATCTCGCCGTCGACCCCTTTCTCCTCCTCGAGCCAACTCTTCCAACTCCAGCCCCTCCCCTCCCCCAACTCCAGCCCCTCCCCGTTCGACGCCGACGGCAGCTGGTTCGAGCTCTGGATCGGGGGATGCGACGGCTCAGAGGAAGAATAAGAGGCCAAAGTGTGAGTTTTTTGTTGGGGTTTTTGATTTTTATGTGTTTAATTTTAATGGGTATCTTTTAGTTTTGTTGATTGGGAGTTAGTTTGAGATTGAGATTTTGGGCTAGGGTTTGTTGAATTGGATATTGTTCGGTTGGTTTCTGTTAGGGTTTTTGTAGTTGCAGGCACAACTATTTTTGCATTTTTATCATTGTTTTCTTATGGTAGACTGACTGACCATCATTGTTGGGACAAAAGTCTATGTTATTGTTCTCATCGTTTATGGCAAAGAGTTAAAGAACTTTCATATTATTTCCTATTCCTTGCTTGGGCTTTGAAGGCTTTGGTTCAGGTATTCCACTTGAAACAGGTCTGTATCCGCCACGACACCGCCGCCAACACCCACCGTCGGCCGAGAAAATTCCCTCTGGTTCGTATCCGGTTGTTCCCTCAATTCCAATTGAGGTAATTTGAACAAGTACAATTAGACCCAAATCAGATTTATATGCCTTAGGAATTATTGCACTACAATTATTGGCAGCTAGGCACCCAAGAGGGTTGCTGATTAATGTGGAAAATGCAATAGAAAGTGGTTCATTTGCTGATTTACTTGACAAATCAATATCAGACTGGCCACTTCTAGAGGCAGAGAAGTTAGCAAAGCTTTCTGTAAAATGCTGCAGGCTAAGATGCAGAGACAGGCCAGATTTAGACTCGGAAGTTCTCCCTGAACTGGAGGAGCTTTGCAAAGTGGCTATTGTTTGTTTCAAGTTGAGACAATGCAATGTTTATGCACCGAGCCATTATCTATGCCCAATATTGCAGGTGAAAGGTTTTCTAAAGTAGCATCTTTATGATTTCTCGTTCATCTTTTTCTTAAGGCTTATTTTTATCTTTGGTACCCTAAACGTTACCAATTTTTTAAACTTTGAAATCCCAAAGTTTCAATCTCATGCCATTTTCACATAATCGTCCAAATTTCATTATATTTTTCTGTTAAAATGTATCAAATCTTTAGCACATGATACAGTTAGGTCAACTATACACTTCTGGTGAAAAATTATTTCCCCTACCCCATTCCTAGAATTGCACAAAGTATAACCAGGCCAAGGGATCATCATCTAAAAAATACCCATAAATATTTACGGGCAATTACTTTTCATGAGAGGGGTATAAATTGACCTTAATGTATTACATGTTAAGCATTTGCTATGGTTTTAACAGAAAGATAGAACAATACTTGCAAGGTATCAAAGTGGAATGGGACTGAAAGTTTGGCCTATCAAAGTGTTAAAAGAAAACTATCACAGTTAAAAAAAGGGGTAAACGATGGGGTACCAAAGTTAAAATAAGCCTTTCCTTAATAATTCAATTCTGATCATGGTGATACATTGCAGGAAATTATGGAAAATCCCCATATTGCTGCTGATGGATATACTTACGAGTATAGAGCAATTAAAGCATGGCTTGGAAAACACAAGATATCTCCCGTTACGAAGCTCATCCTCTGGCTTACAACATCCTGAGAAATGAGATTGCTCGATACATGATCGTACTCCTGTAACATTTCAACTTCCTCCGAAGTTACGGAGAGCTTGATTAATTTATGATGCAAATTTATCATAAATAACGGTAGCTTGGTCTTTGCATACTACAAGGAAGGCGCCAGTGATCCTACCCTTTTGTACTTCGCCCACGGGCTGAAGGAGATCAAATGCTAGAGCCTGTTCTTTTCAGAACTCCAAAAGAAGGAGATTTGTACTCTAATGATATGTTACCTAAATTATCTGTTGCCGCTGGACTTGGGTCTTTTAAAGCTTTAACTGTGGTACTTAATAAACTTATGTGGGTTTGAGTAATGTTTTTGTCACAACTTTTTTAAGTTATATTTCATTGGACTGAGTAGTGATTATTTTCTTCTTTTGTCTCTGGTGTTTATGCATTTTTCTTGTGATCAAAGGGTAACCAGCTTAATGAAGCATACTGATTTATCGCTAGATGTGGCAGGATGCAGTTAGATGGATGTTGATATGTAGGCAGTGAGAGAATTTTTCTCCAATTTAATGCGCCAAGTGTTGCTGCTGCATGAACTTGATTATGGAAAATATTTTTCATGGAGATTTAGTATTTGATTGGAATATTTACTTGTATAATAGTTGAAGATGATTTTGTTTAAGTTTTTACTAATTACTTTATGGACATATGGATGGTTAGAGTTTTGTATGCTTAAGATTTTAACGTAAGAGGCAAACTGTTTTTCTTTCTTATTCACGAGTTCGACATTTGACGATATCTCAAGTTGTACCGTGAAATGGCCAGGCAATCTGTTTCCAGACCTTTTTTTTGTGCGCTCAATGAGATGAGTGAAAAACAAGTCATAATCCAAGTAACTGTAGTTTAACACAGTTGCAGCAATTCCAAATCAAATATCATTCAATCTGTTGTTAAACTGCAATGAATCTTTTGTGTTGATGAAACACAAAACATCAAACATGCTCACCATTTTTACGCTTGATATGAACATCTACAAGCATAATACTATCATAAAAGAAATCAAGAAATCTGCAAGATACTCTGTAAAAGGTACATGCTATGAGTTCTAGTGAAAGAAAAGACCTGAAAGCATACAAACATCCTCAATATCAGATAAATCCTTGTGCGAGCACAAAGATCATAGACAAAACTTGTATGTCAATTGTCAAGACAGGGAGAGCATCACATTCCAAACCATTGTTAACAACACCAGTCAGCAAGAACGATCAGTACACTAAACATTATTAACTACAACATATTCATCCAGCAGTAGATGTGATTTTTACATAACAAAACCATTAAATATACATACACATCTACATCATTGCAAGAAATACCCAGACAAAAACAGAGCAAATTACATCGGGTTCTCTTTTAGCTCCAGGTTCTAATAAATTTTGTAGAAAGTGTGGCCTCGAGCTGTAAGTTCCAGGTTCTCTTTTAGGCTCGAGGGGTTATTTTTGATGCCCGCGTTCTATGCAATCTCCTCCTCTTGTCACCGCGTGTACCTCCTCTCTTCACTGCCGTGTGCTATCTCCACATCTTGGCCTAGCTTTGGCAGTTCCTTCAAAGTAAAATATTAGTCATAGGTGGGAAGAAAGTGAAAAAGAATACATAGATGATGAACATCTACTTATGCCAATTCCAGACATAAACAAAGAGACCAAACTCCCTAATGCTTATCTGGAATATAAAAAGAACAGAGACAATGGTTCAACTTTCAGTAAATGAATAAAAGCGTACAAATGAAATGATAAGTGTTATACTACAGTTTTTGTAATCACGTATGAAGAATCCCTATCAAACATAGGCCGGTGGAGGACTAATGCTGAAGCTGATGGGAACCAAAATAGGCTGTCTCAATAAGACGGCTTTCAAGAGAGTAACAGATACTAAAGTTCAAAAACACCTCACGGGGTGCAATTTTAGGTACTGTCTAATATTTTTTCAAGAATTTTTTGTGTCAAACTACATGATTTTCGAGCGAATGAAAATGAACTATGCAAAAATGAAGCTCGAAATCTAACCAACAATAAGCAACGCTTTAGAATTACCTCATGTTCAACACCATACACTTATATTATTGAAGCTTGAAGATACTATTTTCCTTTGGGGAACTTAAATATGTATGACCATGAATCTGAAACATTAATTGCAGCACAAGAAAACCGAACGGGTACGCGTTTACACTAGATCATACATATATGGCTTTGGCAGCCGATGATGGGTCTTAAGATGCCCACAACCATCAATTTAAATGTCCTTTGTGTCCATAGGCCAACAACTACTACCCCTGTTGCCCAAATGAGCTCAAGGGTTTTCGTAGAGCCTTAATGATCCTCATCAATCTTTGCTAGAGGTTTAGGTTGAGAGGATAACACAACCATTGTCACTTAAAGTTATTAATTAACAGGACTACATCTTAAGCGAGAGAGCAGTAAATAGAATTTAAGGAAGGATAACAAAAGCTGATTAAAGATCAAGTAGTAATAGTGCAACATTTGAAAATACATGGAATCTGAACCGCAATTGATCTTAGCTTCATATTAAATAAAATCCGTCAAATGCTTGCAGCAAGAAGAAACCATCAGCCCCCCATCCTCCCTCCACCCCTCAAACCTCCTCACAATGATAAAAATGCAAAAATAGTTGTGCCTGCAACTACAAAAAGTCAAAAACCCTAACAGAAACCAACCGAACAATATCCAATTCAACAAACCCTAGCCCAAAATCTCAATCTCAAACTAACTCCCAATCAACAAAACTAAAAGATACCCATTAAAATTAAACACATAAAAATCAAAAACCCCAACAAAAAACTCACACTTTGGCCTCTTATTCTTCCTCTGAGCCGTCGCATCCCCCGATCCAGAGCTCGAACCAGCTGCCGTCGGCGTCGAACGGGGAGGGGCTGGAGTTGGGGGAGGGGAGGGGCTGGAGTTGGAAGAGTTGGCTCGAGGAGGAGAAAGGGGTCGACGGTGAGATCAGCAGCTCGACGGCGAGATCTCACGGCGGAGGAGTTGGCTCGCGGAGGAGGAAGGGGGTCCTTTATCGCCCATGGCAGGGAATAAAAGAGATTAGGTCGAAATATGATTTGATTATTGAACAAGGTAGTTCACCAACGAATTGAATAAGACAGATAAAAACATAAATTTGTATATACCACCAATGTGGTGAAAGTCACTCTTTTACATACATGTCACTTCTTTATCTTTAACGTTAAGTTTCCCAGGCTGTGCAATACCAATGGAACAAAGATATTAGGTAAGTGATGAGGCAAGGATTACATAAGGAGGTAGTAGATGACATGTTGCTATACTAATAAAATTGATTATTTCTTTAATTGAAATATTAAAAAGCCAACAGCTTTGGTGCTCCAATTGAGTACGGAAGCGGTTGGTGAAGTTTGTTTCCTTGAAAATCTCTCTCACATCCTAAATTTGAGGGATAAGGTAGTTGAGAGGAGTTCCACACCCAAAAGAGTAATTTCACTTAGATAAAAAGGTTATTTTAGGAAGTATAAATAAGAAGAGAAATATAATTTGTGATTAGTTACAACTATACAACTAATGAACGCGTCTCTATTTTTCCGTCCTTTCCTAGCATTCTTCCTTCTTCGTTTCTTATTGCTTTTGAACTATAAACTCTTCCAAAACTTATTCATGTATTGTATTATTTTCTGTCTTTTATTTCTCTTATTCGTGATTAATTTTGCCAAAAAAAATATCTAATTTTCCTCATACACCATGTTAAATATAAGTGATTAATTCTCTTTTATTTCTTCTATATCTTTTTTTATTTTCTATCTTTTTATCTTTTTATTTCTTTTATTAAACAACTTGGTTAATGTTATAGAAAGAAAAAAAATCTCTTCACACACACACACACATATATATATTCATTCCCTTGAGAGCAAACGCGAAAAAGAATTTCAATTTTTAGGTGTATGCTAAATTTTTAGGAAAGTAGGTGAATTTCAATTTTTTTAGGTATATGCTAAATTTTTAGGTTTCAGAAGAATTTTATGTCAGCGTCAAAGAAATACTAAACTTGCAAGAAGTAACAAAAAACAAAAGAAACGATATTGGAGGATAATTAGGAAACAAAGAAACGGTATTGGACTAGGATAATTAGGAAAGTATGTAAGTAGGTCGGACAAAAATACCCTTCCATATTTTTAGACAGTTTTAATTATTTTATCAAATTAAAAATGGTAAAAAACGTTAATTTGGGACAACCGAGCAATGCTCTTATATATAAATATATATATATATATATATATATATATATATATATATATATATATATATATATATAATATCTATCCATTGAATGAAAGTCTCTTCATATGACTGCACGGATCTCTAGGTAGTCAATCAATGGATAGGAACCTTGGTGGATGGTCCACTTAAGTTGAGATAAGTTCTCTCTCTCTCTCTGTCCTCTCTCTTCCTCTATATATATATATATATATATATATATATATATATATACTATATATATAATATATATATAAGAGAGAGAAGAGAGAGGAGAGAGTGAGGGAAATGAGTATGCTTGGTAGTTAGGGAGGTATAATCCCCTTCCACTCATTCAAATGATTGCATATCCCATGCACTCCTCAACCCATCGTGAATGTGGTCCCCCATTTGAATGAGTAGAATGGATGTGGCCCCTCATATGATATTATATATATATATATAGATATATATATAGTATATATATATATATAAAGAAAAAATAGTATAATTAAATATATAGAAAATAAATGATCAGAGGCTCGAGAATTAATTAAAAATAGAGTTAGCATGTTCCTTTAAAAATTTTAAATTAAAGTTTAGTGAGTTTCTAATAGTATTCTTTTTATTATGGAAATTATAGAGATATAATAGGTTATATAAGCACCATAGTTGGAATTGCAATAAAACTCAGCAATTTTTTGACATATTTTTTCATAGCCTTTCAATTTTACATTGAGACCCATAACATGCCCACTAATGAAAAGTTCAAAAATAATCAGCGCATCTCTCCATTCCTAAGATGAAAATTCAGCAGCTTGATTGGTGGGGGGGGGGGGTTAGGGGTGGGGGTTGGAATATAATCCAGGATTCAATCATCTTTTAATTTTTCTATTGTTTGAAATAAACTTGGAAATGTTTTAGTTTGGGGATTTTGACCACTTACAACTTTAGTCTAACTTCCTCAAGTGGAGTAGGAGCCTTATCAGCCAAATTTGAGCAAATATGAGAATCAAAGCTCATGTCATTAGGTATAGATAGATACTAAAGGAGAAGCCGTGGTAGAATCTTGCTGAATGTTAACCAAGAAAGCAATGCTTGCAGAAGAGCTTTTAGTAGAAGTAGGCACTATATCAATAACCTTATCTTCCT